TAGTGTGGCTATAAGCAATGTGGCCTTGTCCTTCCCTCCTCCCCCAACCCTTCCGGGCTACCTTGTCCATTATCTCATTTTTAAAAAATTAATAAAGAATGAATGCATGGTTTCAAAACAATAGTTCCTTTATTTCGAAGGTGGGAGGGTGGTTGGCTTACAGGGAATTAAAATCAACAAAGGGGGTGGGTTTGCATCAAGGAGAAACACACACAACTGTCACACCGAAGCCTGGCCAGTCATGAAACTGGTTTTCAAAGCCTCTCTGATGCAACAGCAGCGGTGACGGTGAGCTGAGTGGGCTCCATGCTTTCTGTGGTATGGTGTCTGCACGGGTAACCCAGGAAAAAGGCGCGAAACAATTGTCTGCCGTTGCTTTCACGGAGGGAGGGGCGACTGATGACATGTACCCAAAACCACCCACGACAATGTTTTTGCCCCATCAGGCATTGGGAGCTTAACCCAGAATTCCAATGGGCGGCGGAGACTGCGGGAACTGTGGAATAGCCACTCCGTAAGTCGATGCTAGCCAGGGTAGTGAGGACGCACTCTGCCAACTTAATGCGCTTAGTGTGGACATATCAAATCGACTGTATAAAATCGATTTCTAAAAATTCACTTCTATAAAATCAACCTAATTTCGTAGTGTAGACATACCCTTAGGCTCTTAAACTTCTGCCTTTCTTCTTTTGTTTTCTTCAGAGTCCGAATCTGCCTATTGCTCCAGCCCAGGAATTTCAGTCTGATCCTATTTCTGCATTAAAATCTCCCATCACCAGTTAGACGTCTTGTCTTGAAACTTTTTGTATTGCTTTCATAGATTCAAAGGCCAGAAGGGACCACTGTGCTCATCTGGTCTGACCTTCTGTATAACAGGCCATATAACTTCCTCTGAATAATTCCTAGATCATTATAAAATGTATCAGTTTCTTCCCTGGGCACTGCTAACATCAGCATATATATTTGCACTGGATTTGCACCAACCTCTAGATTCCATGAAATGCCTTTTTGTTCCCATTTCCCCACCATAATACATGCGCACACAGCTCTGGGTCAGATTTGAAAATACTCAGTGATAGAAAATGTGATTATTTTTAAAGAGGGGTTTTAGTTGTGCTCTGGAAGCAGCCCCCATTCCCCTTCCTGGCTCTCAGCTCCCAGTGTTGTCCAGGTGACCCAGCTAAGAATCTCCTGGGAAGGGGCATGTATTGCTGACTTCAGTATCTAATCTCACTGGTGCCTTGGGCCTCAGCTGCTGTGCTTTCCTCCAGGCAGTTTAGCTTGCCAGCCAGTGCTACTGACTCTGCCTGTTTTCTGGCACAGTCAGGAAGGATACACTATAATCTTGTCCTCTTGTGAAGAAAAGAAGGAGCAAGAGGCAGCTGCAGGCAGGCTTCCGGTAGGGAGACCAAAACCAAAACAATGTGCCTGACTGCAGCAAAATGACAAATTGCATGTCTGAAATGTTGAAATCTCTGGTATCTGGTTAAAAAAAAACTTCTGAGAGCCATTGTTTCAGGCTGTCTCCACAGTCAGGCAGGTGATGCGATATTGACTTACATTACATTTGGCTCATTTTTGAGGTTGTCTTTGAAATCATAAGTAGGGCTGTCAAGCAATAAAAAAATTTAATTTTTTTAATCGTGTGATTAATCACGATTAAGTGCAATTAATTTCACATTTATTTAAATATTTTTGGATGTTTTCTACATTTTCAAATATATTGATTTCAATTACAACACAGAATACAAAGTGTACAGTTCTCACTTTATATTTTTGATTACAAATATTTGCACTGTAAAAAACAAGAAACAGTATTTTTCAATTCACCTCATACAAGTACTGTAGTGCGATCTCTTTATCATGAAAGTTGAACTTACAAATGTAGAATTATGAACAAAAAAACCCCTGCATTCAAAAATAAAACAATGTACAACTTTAGAGCCTACAAGCCCACTCAGTCCTACTTCTTGTTCAGCCAATCGCTCAGACAAACAAGTTTGTTTACATTTGTAGAAGATAATGTTGCCTACTTCTTGTTTACAATGTCACCTGAAAGTAAGAATAGGCTTTTGCATAGCACTGTTGTAGCCGTCGCAAGATATTTACATGACAGTTGTACTAAAGATTCATATGTCCCTTGATGCTTCAGCCACCATTCCAGTGGACATGCATCCATGCTGATGACGGGTTCTGCTCGATAACGATCCAAAGCAGAGCAGACTAATGCATGTTCATTTTAATCATCTGAGTCAGATGACACCAGCAGAAGATTGATTTTCATTTTTGGTGGTTTGGGTTCTGCAGTTTTTGCATCAGTGTTGCTCTTTTAAGACTTCTCAAAGCATGCTCCACCTCTCGTCCCTCTCAGGTTTTGGAAGACACTTCAGATATTTAAATCTTGGGTCGAGTGCTGTAGCTATCTTAAGAAATTTTATATTGGTGTCAAATCTGCAGTGAAAGTGTTCTTAAAACGAACAACATGTGCTGGGTCATCATCCAAGACTGCTATAACATGAAATATATGGCAGAATGCGGGTAAAACAGAGCAGAAGACATAAAATTTTTCCCCAAAGAGTTCAGTCAAATTTAATTAAGGCCTTATTTTTTTTAAAGAGTGTCATCAGCATGGAAACATGACCTCTGGAATGATGGCCAAAGCATGAAGAGGCATATGAATCTTTAGCGTATCTGGTACGTAAATAACTTGCAATGCTGGCTACAACAGTGCCATACAAACGCCTATTCTCACTTTCAGGTGACATTGTAATTAAGAAGCGGGCAGCATTATCTCCCGTAAATGCAAACAAACTTGTCTCTTAGCGAATGGCTGAACAAGAAATAGGACTGAGTGGACTTGTAGGCTCTAAAGTTTTACATTACTGCACTCAAAAACAAAACAATGTAACAAAAAAACCTACATTTGTAAGTTGCACTTTCATGATAGAGATTGCACTACAGTACTTGTATGAAGTGAATTGAAAAATACCATTTCTTTTGTTTCATTTTTACAGTGCAAATATTTGTAATAAAAAACATAGTGAGCATTGTACATTTTGTATTCTGTTGTAATTTAAATCAATATATTTGAAAATGTAGAAAAACATCCAAAAATATTTAATAAATTTCAGTTGGTATTCTATTGTTTAACAGTGCAATTAATCGCGATTAATTTTTTTAATGATTATTTTTTTGAGTTAATTGCGAGTTAACTGCGATTAATCGGCAGCCCTAATCATAAGGGCTAGAAACACTCTTTAAAAACAAAAGCTGAGCATAATTCTGTATCAAGTCCATGGCATATTTTGTATTGGGTACCACCCTAGCATACACTATTTCTCATAGGGAAGGAGGTATAGAATGAGATTTTCAGCTTTCGGCCTGTTGTTACACAGCTAATTCACTTTTAGTATGTGCACCTTACTACGAGATGATAATGCCTAGACCACACTTTGACTTAATCTGCCTTTAAAAATCAGTAATTGTACTTCATAGTCCATAGGGGCTACAGTTTCCAATGTATTTTTGATATAAAATTCTGTTTTGTAACATTACTAGTCTTGATAGAGTGAATTTAAAGTCTACTTGATTCTCATTTGAGAAACATCCCCTCTTATAATAAAGCTTAGTCAGCTCCATGAAACTCCCTTTCTTCTTAAAATGTACCAAAACACTTCATCCCCTTTAATTAGTTAACTCATTTCTAGAACTTTACCTAACTGTGCTCTCATTTCATAGCCTTGATGCCTCTTTAATTTTTACTGAATTGTCTTATTCTAGTATTCACCGTATGAGTGTTTTCTAGAACTCATAAAGCTGCTGACCTTAAAATACATCTTAAAATTCAATGTTTATGTATAAAACAAGGAAATACCTTACAGAGGTGATACTGTCACCTAGGAAACTATGGTGTTACATTTGAGGAAAGATTATTTAAAACTAAAATATAAGATTAAAAATAGCATAGATTGCAATGCAGATGTGTGACACTTAGGTAATCAGCATACCTTGACTCTGGCTGAATAGATCCCTCAGTTGAGTAAGTTTGCTACTGCTGTCATTGTTTGATATATTTCACTTGTAAACGACCTGTGAAATTTCCTATTTGCAGTTGTTCTTATATGACATCTATATAAAACTTGTTCAGTTTGCAAGTAAAAAGATGGCTTTAACTACCTGCTTTGCAATTTCAATCTCCCATCTGAAAATAAGGCATGGATGCTTAATGGATTGTGCATCAGTGATGACAGATCTGCAGGCCAATTTCCAGCTAGCGATACAACTGTGCAATCCCCAAAGTTTTCAAGTGAGTTGCACACATGGAAGTGAGGGTTGAATTTGGCCCTGCAGTTGTAATTTAAAAATGTAGGAGGGGGGGCAATGGATATATAAAACTTGTCACGGAAGCAAGCAGGTATACTTGACATACAGGGTGTGTCTTCACTGCAAAGTTAACTTGTATGATTGGTACCCAGGTCAGCTGCACTCAGGTGTGAGCAGCCACTCCTGAATTATAATCTCTGCACTGGTGCTGCACTTAACCATGTGGGTGCTAAGACTTCTGGAGGTTTACCTCCTTGTCCTTTGCTCTGTCGTAAGCTGAGCCTCTGGTTCTTTCCCAGTGAATTGTGGGAAAGTATTGGAGGACTGTCAGTACTTGAGTGGCTTAGCCTAAGTGCTCACTACAAAGAGGGGAGGTGAGCAACCCTAGTGAAAGGCTCAGAGGTTTTAACCTGCAGTCCCAGATGAGCCAGGTAGTCTGTGTTGAACTCTCCACTAAAGTTGGATTTTGTGGGTGAGGGGAAACACCCCACGAAGAGCCCGAGTGAACAATGTAGTGAAGACACATGCTCTCGGTAGCAGCTGAGTTGAAGAAGAAAATTACTGCCTTTCATAGAACTAACCCACTATAGGAGGCAGTTATCATTTGCTTATTAGAAGGCTAAACAGTCCCAGAGATGAAGCCTAAGTACAGTAGGTAACTGTAACTTTTCTTGCAGAATCTGTGTCATCACACTGGCAGAAGCTCATCCTCTTCTTCAAAATGGAAAAACAATTAAGAGTATTAATTACCAAATCAGTGCCAACTGTAGTAGACTTCAAAATAAGGTCTCTGGAAAGTCAAAGCGGGTATGGCTTTTTTTTTTTTTTTTTTTTAAACTACCTTTAAAAAAAGTTCATATTTTATTTAAGTCCCTGCAGTGTTTACCTCTAATGGGAACATAAAAAGGATCCACTGTGTCAGAGGCTGGAGTTCCTTTCCCAGAAAGAAATTTCTTACATTGTCTACCGTTGTTAACATTAATTTAGTAATCTTGGAGAAGCTGAACCCAGAGCTCCAACCTAGACTGCTCTTCAGATACCTGCAGCAGTGTGTATACTAAGCACCCCATTCCTTAGATCTGTTCTGAGCAGGATTATGTAATGCTGTTACAATACCAGTGCTAGGGTTGTCTGAAGTAGACTCATAGACTTTAGATGACCATAATGGTCCCTTCTGACCTTAGTCTGACCTCCCGCATGATGCAGGCCACAAAAGCTGACCCACCCAATTTCCCTTATCTCAGCTGTTGAAATCTCCAGATCGTGATTTAAAGACTTCAAGTCGCAGAGAATCCTCCAGCTTGAGACTCCTGCCCTATGCTGCGGAGGAAGGCAAAAATTGATTGCCCATGCTGGTGCTAACAGTGGTGGAAAATGTCAAGAAACTTTCCTTACTGTATATAGGGCTTAAAAGTGTCACATTTTTTATTTTTAAATAACTAGATATCAAACATTAAAAGCCTCTTCAGAGATGTCAGGGACTCAATGGACATGAAAACTGCCCTTTTGTTGAAAATATATATATGGCAAGCTTATGGGTTGTCTAAAAAAAGTCACATTGGTTTAACTAAAGGTGTAGTTTCAAACACGCTTAGTTAAACCAGCGCATAAGGCAGCATGGATACTCATTTCAATTTAGCTTATGTTGATTTAGAACCAAGTTTGAGCTAAACCAATTTTGGTTTAAGTAAGCTGTTAGAGGTGTGTGTAGATAACTCCTGAGGGCTGGTCTACACCCAAAGTAGAACAAAAGAAACGTCTTTATTTTATTATAAGACGGTCTTATTTTCATGTAAATGTCCACACACACTTACTTCAGTTCATTTACACTGGTAAAAAGAAATCCTTAGGGGGATATTTGGTTCCTGCATTGTGGAGAATGACTTCAGACTGTCACTTTTAGTCATGTTGAAAATTTAGAAAGAGATAAAACCGTGTGACCAAAAGTCTTTTAAAACAATCTTGGAACATGTGACTACTTTGTATTACTGATTGTAACAAGGTTCAGAATTTTCTCTCAATATGCTAGGAAGGCCACACTTAAAAAACAAAACAAAAAACAAACTTCTTTTAAATTCACAGGAATTTTTTGTTTCACATGCAGGGTGCTCAGTTTCTAACAGAACTTGCCCCTCTGTGCAGGATATCTTGTTCAGATGGCGAAGAATATACTATATATAGGTAAGTAACTTTTTTTTTTTTTTTTTTGTTATTTTGATTACAAAGCATGGTTTTACTAACATAGGGTTACCATACGTCCGGATTTCCCTGGACATGTCCGGCTTTTTAGTACTCAAATCCCCGTCTGGGGGGAATTGCCAAAAAGCTGAACATGTCCGGGGAAATAGGGAGGCAGCATAAGCCAGGGTCCGCCCGGCCCCAGCACAACCTGCAGCGTCCGCAGCGCAGCCCAGCTGCCCGGCTACATTGTAGCGAGCTCGGGTGGGGGGAGAGGGGGCGCAGCTGCAGAAGGCGGCGAAGGGGCCGCTGCTGCCCCCGGAGGCCGGGCGGACTGTGCGCCCCAGCCGAGCCTGCAGGACCATGGGGAGGCTGGGCCCAGCCAGCGGTTCAGGCTTCCCTCGCGGGCAGGGACCCCCTGGCCACTGGGGGACCCTTCCTGCGGCCCAGTCACCCCGCGCGGCAGGAAGGTGGCTGCGGGGTGGGGAGTGTGGCATGTGCCAGGGCTGCAGGGACCTGCGCTGTCCCGGTCGCTGCTGAGCGTCTGAAGCCCCCGCCAGGCAGAGGCTGCCGGGTGAGCAGGGCAGGCGGGGGTTGCAGAGGCATAGGGGCTGCAGGGCAGGCGGGGGGGTGCAGAGGCTGCAGGGCGAGGAGGAGCAGGGCAGGCAGGGGGCGCAGAGGCTGCAGGGGCGGGGGGTGCAGGGCAAGTGGGGAGCAGGGAAGCACTTAGCAACCTCCAACCAAGATCAGAGCGGGAGGGAGGAGGGGGAATGCGGGGTGCTCAGAGGAGGGGGCAGAGTTGGGGCGGGACCGGGGACCCGTGGAGTGTCCTCTTTTTTAAATGTTTGAATATGGTAACCCTAACTAACACTAGAACTTTTTTGCAGTTGTATAAGAGGGCGGTTGATGGAAGTTAATGAAAACATTCTGGATAATCCAACTATTCTGCAAGAAAAGGTAAGAATTTTGCTTACATTACGTTTTTTTCTCATTTTTATTCCTGTGCTATATCATGGTCTTATTTTCTAGCCATCTACTGAGGGATACATTGCAGTTGTACTACCCAAATTTGAAGAAAGTAAGACCATAACTCAAGGACTTCTGACACAGAAGGAATATGAAGAAGTTTTGTTGAAACGTTTTAATTCAACTTCATGAAGCTCTATTTTTAACTGAATACATAAATGTCTGAACCACACTGTGAATAGCTTCAGAATTAAGTATTGCATAGATAACACTTGTAATCATCTACTTCCAGTATACCTCATAGTGCAAGAGTTGTAACATGAACGATTTTAAAATTGTACACACTTAACATAAGGGACTGGAAATTAGTTCTTTAATTTTTTATGGGTTTGTTTAATGTTTTTTAAATGAGTGAACAGTAAACAGTCATTTAATTTCAGACAAATAAACAGTTTAAACATTTAATGTGTTCTGTATTTTTTGACAGGTGCAGTATAGAAAAATAACTATCTTTCTAGTGCTTAATGTCAAGCAAAAAAACTTAGTTTCACCTATTTTTAGAACCCCAGGTCATCTTATACAGGTACTTAAATGAAGACAAATGAAGACCATTTCTGGCTGATCAAGATTAATCCCCAATCTCTAGTGTTGAGGATTTCAGCTGTTACCTCTTTGGTGCTGCAAATCCAGCATCCCCATTGTGATGTCCATTACCAGCAAAGGACACACAAAGAGCTACTGGTGAGAGGATGATGCCCCACAAGAATTAAATACCCTTAACACCTGAAGCCCTTAGAGTACTCTACTGTTCTCAAAGTAGTAAAACAACCTAAGTTAAAGAAACAATAAAACAAAGAATAATGATATACAAGGCCAACAAAATAAGGTATGGCATCTGTACGAAGAGCAAACAGGCATCTCCAACTTATAGTATAGTGGCTTGGAATCAAATAATGCCCTTTGTACAATGATTGGTCATAATTGCTATCAAAATATCGTTTCTAAGAGTTCTAAATCTTGCATTGTAAAAATCTACTTTATGAAACTTAAATATGCCATACATTCTAAATGAAGATTTCAGTAGTTTCACATGCATTTCAAATCCTACTCTAAGTTTTGATAATAAATCAAAAGCAGCAGTAAGATCAGCTATCTATCACTAAAGAGCTTATAAACAAAGAGAATTCTTAAGTAGTCACTGGAAATATAAAATGTTTTTGGAGGATGAACACATCATTAGTTCAGATTGGCAGCAGTAAAATTAAATTATTTAAATCAAATTAGCCTTAAAAAAATTGGCATGTGTGTTGCAAAACAGCAGGAGGTTTTCTGTAGACTTGTTCTTTGCAGAAATACCTCATAGTTAAGACAGCAACATTCAGTGCTTTAGGCCAGAGCCTTCCAGATTATCTTCCTGATACTGGCCAACAATGAGACGGACAAACTTCCACAGTAGTATTATATGCAGCACATATCCTCAAAAAATATCCAGTTTCTCTGCATAAATGTCCATTAGCAGCATCTTTGGTTGAAACTTTCATTAAGATGTTCACAAGTGTTAGTTACAAAAATAACAGCATTAATGTTGAGCAAGTTACAAAAATAACAGCATTAATGTTGAGCAAAGGGACACATTCACATTATAAAAATACAGAACAGTTAAAAACTGACCGACTTTGCAATTGTTACTGTTAAGTACCATGACATCTATTAGATGTGAGAAGGTCACAACAGCTTTAATTCAAATAACCTGCTTTATCTTTCACAAAAGAAAGCAGCTTTGAAACTTTAGCCAGTTTGTAATTTCCACATGAAGTTCTTCCATTCCTAAATACTACAATTATTTGCTCTCTAAAAATGTCAGATTTGCTACATGATGTTCCAAGGATTTTATTCCAAAGGCATCAGTTTTCCCTTCCATGCTGTCTTCATTTGTATTTCTTTGTAATCTGTTCTCTCTCCATGGATGAGGTGATCTAAGCCAGCCATTTCCAGTTCCACACTGTAAAAACAAACAAAAAAAAAAAAGCTGAGAAGCAGGATTGGTTTTATTTTTCCTCATTGCTGCAAATGGATCATTAACTCACCTTTTTCAGTAGCTTGCAGCTGAGTGGGAGAACTTGGGATAAAATGGTCATCACACCTTTTGTTTTCCGAATGCATGTGTCAACCTAAAACAGAATTAATGTAAAAATCATAATTAGATGAGAATATCACATGCTGACCCTTTAAAATATGAACTGAGTCTTCTTTTTTAAAATTGAAGAACAGTCTCAGCTTGAATTACTAATAGTATTTGTCTGTTGACATTTTCCCTGTTCTGTATTGGAAAATGAAGTGTTAGTTGTCTTCTACATCCTACGGAAAGAACAATTTACTTGTAAGAGGGATCTGACAATCCACTCTATGGAGGTAGAGGTTTTATCTCCTTTCACAAAACAAGAAAGGACCAATCAGAATTCAGAACCATCCAGGATATACCTAGCTCTCTTGAATTCCTCATCTGGATTTTTCTTAACACTTGAAGGATGGAATTTAAGGTGACAGCAGTTTTCAGTAATTCCACATTAGCATCTGTCTTGTAACAACTGGTAAGGGTATGCACTGAACACCAAGACTGCAGTTCTATGTCACTAATATGTTCTCTTTCTGAGAGCATGAAAGAACAGGTACATAGCTGTGGATACTTCTAAATGTGTTGTCCACACAACTTCCATTGTTGGCACACTTATGCCTGACATTGGATTCTTTTGAATAGCAGTGTCCATTTGGACCATGCTTGTGCCCTCTTGGTTCCCATAGCCCACGACATAAAGAGTGGGGAAAAGTGGACAGAACATGGAATCTGTGTGGAAAACACATCTCAAAGATGCACAGGAATTGTAAGTAACCATTCTTTCTGCAAATGATTTTCTACACAAATTCTATGCTTGGTAATCAACAGGCAGTTATCCAGCAGGTAGGTGAGCAGAAGCCTACTTGAACAGTGTTTGTAGGACAGCCCTGCCAAAACTAGCATCCAACATGAAAGCTTTCACCAGGAACAATGAGTGGATTGAGCTCCATATTGCTGCTTTGCATATCAGATAACCGGGTATTACCTAAGCAGGCTGCTTGAGCCCTGGTGGAATGAACCCCAATATGTCCAGGTACATCTTAGCCACATCACAAAAAGTCCTAACAGTCAGAGATCTACTTAGAAACTGTCTCTGGAATGACATGAATTGTGCCTTAACCTTTTCAGCAAATGCCAAAAGTGTCAGAGACAAGGTGCATATTATCTTTTATTGGACCAACTTCTGTTGGGGAGAGAGAGAAGCTTTTGAGCCGCACAGAGCTCTGTTGGTCATACACCTGAACATTGTTTTGTTTAGATATGATGAAGCCAGTGCTCTTACAACTTCTAATGTTTGAAGCTTCATTTCAGCCAGGGTAGAGTGTAGTTTAGGGAAGAAAACTGGGAGATTAATTGACTAATGTGAAAGTTGGAAACCACCTTAGGCAGAAACTTGGGTGACAGTGACTCTGTCCTCATGAAAGACGATGTATGTTACACCAAATACACATCTTGCAGGGTATTTATCTATAAAAGATATCATGTGAGATGTCTACAGAAAGCTCCTAACTTGTCAAGACTCAGTCGCTGTGAGATGTATACATTTAAGGAACACTGTATTTATATTGAAAGTATGCTTCAAGGACTTGGAGTGAAAAGTAAAGTTTAGTCACCAGGATGTCTCAATGGGAGCCCATTTGGGCAAGAGAGTGTTATTACCCCTCCCTGTCTGCCCAGTGATGCAGTGCAGGCTCAAGTGTTTAGCCTTGCCCAATAATAAGACTTTGAATGGGAAACCAACAGATGCAATGACAGTCAAAATCACTTAAATTAAAGGTAAAAAAGAAACTTTACAACAAGACAGATGTTCACCCTCGCCATGAACAAAAGCAAAAGACATTTCGGTATAGTGTGGAGAAAGATACTCTGCATCTCTTCACCCTTAAGTGGGTGGGGGCATTTATGAACACTTAGATCCTGGTTTGTCTGAAAAACTGTTACCTACCTGTACGATAACTGTTGGAGGTGTGGGTGCAGCGAAGCCAGAGAACTTTGCCAAGCAGTACCCATGGGGGTGGTGCTCATGCCCTCTGGCCCCTTAGTCCCTCCTCTGGCTATTTAAGAGCAGCACTGCCCCAACCCCCCTCGGTCCCTTTGTACTGAGCATCAGAATTGAGACTCCAATACAGAGGGGATGGAGGGTGAGTTACATGTCTACACCCACATCTCCAACAGCAGCAGTTACCATACAGGTATGTAACAGTCTTTTCTTCAAGTAGTTGCAGATGTGTATTCCAGTCACATGCCTCACAAGCAGTATCAGAAGGAGGTGGGGGGCTTGGAGTCTACTTAAACAGCAAGTGCAGGACTGCCTTCCCAAAATTTTCATCTGATCTAGATGCAGTTGTAATAGAATAATATTTGGTAAAAAGTATGTATGGAAGACAAGTAGCAGCCCTGCAAATGTCCACTATTGAAACGTCACTCAGAAATGTGACTGACATTGCCTAAGCCCTCATCAAATGAGCTCTTAACCTTTGTGGAGGCGAAGTCTGAGCTATCCCATAAGTTGTTGTAATATAGGATATTAGCCAGCTGGAAATCATTTGTGTAGAGAGTGCTTAACCCTTCATCTGATCTGCAAAGGAAACAAAAAGACAAGGCCATAAAGGAACTGGCTTAGTTCTTTCCAAGTAAAATGCCAAGCATTGTCTCACATCCAGTGAATGAAGACGCAATCTGCATTTGAATGAGAGTTGGAGAAAAACACAGATAAGTAAACTTAAGATGGAATTGTGACACCACTTCAGACAAAAACTTAGGGTGAGGCCTTAAGGCCACCGTGTTGTTGAAAAACTGAATATAAGAACTGTTCATTCTGGGCAAGACAGCACAACTGAGGAATTAGTGGGACAGAGCTCATATCCTTGTGTGGGGGATCACAAAGTTCTGCATTCTCATCAGCACTCATGACTGTTTTGTGATAAAAGAAAAAAACCCTACTAGAATGGACCAGATTTAAATCAGCAGTTCTGGTTTTTGTGCGAGAACAGCTGAAGTAGGCAAATAAATGAGATTTCAAAACAAGGCTTGGATGCTTCTCTCGGACCTAGAACATTTGTATTTTTCTTTTTAAATCTTACCTTTGTAAAAGTAGCATTTTTCCCCTGAACAATGGTTTTAGCTGTTATCTGAAGCTGCTGGCACACAGGGATCAGCTTGTCAATCTCCAACAAAAGCAAAGGTTTGTCATCGTCTTCTAGCTGAAATACATTTTAAGACGTTAAAACCATTCAGTTTTACAATCACAGAACATATATGTAAGTTACAAGGAAAACCAGTGACCCCAAGCTTCCAGGCAAACATAAGTGTAATAAAGTGGGGAAGTAAATAATCACTTTTACCATTTATTAGTCATACATTACCTGATTAGAAAAGGCAGTGAGAACTGAAGCAAGCTTTATGCCCTCTGTAGCAAAAACCTGACACAGAAAAAAGTTATTCAGAGTTGTTTGTTTATTTTGCAAATACATTGGATAGTTCAAGAACAATAGACCAGTGGCTCTCAACCTTTCCAGGCTACTGTACCCCTTTCAGGAGTCTGATTTGTCTTGCATACCTCCAAGTTTCACCTCACTTAAAGTACACCTCTACCTCGATATAACGCTGTCCTCGGGAGCCAAAAAATCTTACTGTGTTATAGGTGAAACCGCGTTATATTGAACTTGCTTTGATCCACCGGAGTGCGCAGCCCCACCCCCCCGGAGCACTGCTTTACCGCGTTATATTCGAATTCGTGTTATATCGGGTCGCGTTATATCGAGGTAGGGGTGTACTTGCTTACAAAATCAGACACAAAAATACAAAAGTATCACAGCACACTATTAATGAAAAAAATGCTTATTTTCACTATATAATTATAAAATAAATCAATTGGATATAAATATTGTACTGACATTTCAGGCTACAGTATAGAGTACTATACACAAATCATTGTCTGTGTGAAATTTTAGTTTGTACTGACTTCGCTAGTGCTTTTTATGCAGCCTGTTGTAAAACTAAGCAAATATCTAGATGAGTTGATGTACCCGCAGGGATACACATACACCTGGTTGAGAACCATTGCAACAGACTACTACTTAGTAGTACAACAAAGTGATGTGCTAGAAAATTAAAGGCAGAGGGAAATATTTCTTTGCCATGCTCTGGAAACATTTAAAGTTATATACATCTGCCTGCATTTTTTAGGCAATTTTGAAATTACACGATACAGGACAAAATGACATTTTCTCAGATAAAAAAAAATTGCTTTCCCTGCAAAGATTCAGAACACGGATGCAGAGCGATGAGGTTTCATTTTAACTCAGTGGTTCCCAAATTTTCTTTGTTGAAGTCCCTTGCAAGGATTTGGTAAATGGATGCCTCCTGGTGCTCCTGTGTTCCCATGTGTTGCCCTGAGAGTTGCCACTACTACCCACTCATCCCCCATCTCCAAAATTCATTTTCTATCCCGTGTCCTTTTATGCTATATTCTCTTGCATTCCTTCTTGTCTTTTCTATTATTTAAATTCTTTTGCTTTCCCCCTTCCTCCTGCTCAAAAGAAGGCTGCATGCTGCCCAGGGAAGGATGGAACATCAGTTACAACTGAGCTGAGTGTCACACAGCAGAGAAATCTGTGCCTGAGCCTGCAGAAAGTGAAGGGGCCTTTTAAGGAGCAGTACAGTCTCCCCGAGATTAATCTGGTATCTCAGACTATTAATAGTCAATAAACAAGAGTCCCTTCGCAAACTTATTTGTACAGAAATTTTACACCTTTCTCAAAGTAATATCCAAATTATAGAACGTCAAAGCTTGATGAACACCGTCTTAATATTTTAATAGTAGCCCCTCAAACTAATTCCTTGAATGCAGGTATGCTGGCTTTCAGGAAAAATTCTACCTTAGTTATGGGGTGTCGGGGAATTTTTAATGCTAAAAACCCCAACTGCAGAACTTTAAATTGCTCTGTAATTCAAATACAAGAATAACACAAACTGGCCATTAACAGCATCTTAGATAGTTTACTAATCCCTGTTTCCTCAATATAAATTACCTCTGCTTGGTGAAATAAATCCTGGGTAGTCTTCAGCAGCCCTTCTCCTCTGAAAGAGACAATAAATATCATGTACAGCTGGTGATTGCTTAGTCTGTTCCCTTGTTTTTTACATAATATGGTGTACATGCTTTTTCTCCTCCTAGAACTTTGCCAAATGTAGCCATTATATATAGCCAGTCTGCTTATCTGAACAGAGGACTGGAAGGAACATCCAAGGTCACAGAGTCCAGTCCCCTGCTATCAGAGGCAACCCCCCATCATGTAATCCATTTCACAAATGATTCAGTTCCATCTTAAAACCAATTAGGTTGTTTGCCTCCGCTACTCCTATTGTGAAGCTGTTCCAGAACCTCACTTCTATAATGGTCAGAAACATTCTAAATTCCAGCTCAAATTTATTCACGGACAGCTTATATCTATTTTTTCTTGTGCCAACATTGTCCTTTAGCTTTAAAAGTTCTTCACCCTTCCTGGTGTTTACCTCCCTGATCTATATCCCTCAGGATATAGCAGAAATTCTTGTTATCAATCCCTAAGTGCTTGACCTTGCACTTTGCACTATTAAATCTCATCTCATCTCTATTACTCCAGTCCTCAAGGTCATCCTCTTCTTCCTGTGTAATATTCCTATGCTCCTCTGGATTGATGCCTCCCAACTTTGTGTCATCAGATTTTATGAGCACCCTCCTTTCTGTGCCAATGTCCCCAGAGCAAACCTTGAACTCCACTAGTAACCTCCTTGCCAGCCAGATAGTTCCAATTTCAGCACAACCTATTGACATTTCCACTACAGCCAGTCAATCACACCCATCATTCTTAAACTAATCCCTATCTTCTCCAATTTAACTAATAATTTCCCCTGTGGTACTGTATCAAATGGTTGAGTGAGGTCCAGATAGATTAGATCTAACATTTCTCTGGTCTAAAAAAAATCCAAAACAAAACACTAAAAATCAGTTCTTATTAAAAAAAAACACACTATATTAGTCTTGCACAATTTACCTTTGGTAAACCCATTTTCCATTTACCTCCCTGTCTTGTTCTGAGGTCTTACATACTATTGGGGTCAGATTAATGAGTCTGTAGTTGTCCCGATAACTTTTTCTCTTTCTTAAATATAGGTACTATGCCTGCTATTCTCCAGTCATATGGTACCATCCCTGATTGGACAGATTAAAAATCCTTGCTACTGGACTTGCAATTTCATGTGTCAGTTCTTTTAGTATTCTGGGATAGAAGTTATGTCCCGCTACCCTGAATGCATTAAGCTCTTTGGGTTTGGCTTTCACCGTGGATGTAATCATTTCCATTTCTATACACTCCTTCCCATTAGCCGTCATGCTTTTGCCCTGTTATGGTGAGAGGCACCGGTGACTGCTCTAATCACAAACCTCTTTGAGACTGGGGGCTTGTCTACATTATGCAGCTTTTAGTGACAAGGCTGTGTCGACACTGTCGCTAAAAGTCAGCGAGTGTGAACGCTCTTTTGCAGTATTTTGTTGGCACTTTTGCCGACAAAATACTTCCAGCCCCGTGAGCGGCATAAGCTTTGTCAGCAGGGGAGCGCTCCTGCCAACAAAGCCGTGTTCACACTGCCGCTTGCATCGGCAAAACTTTTGTCTTTCGCGTTTTTTTGGGTTTTTTTAAGTACCCGCGAAAGACAAAAGTTTTGGCAACAATTGTGCAGTGTAGACATACCCTGGGTATGGACATGCCTTTCAAGTAATGTCACTGTTAATCAGAAGTCCCCTCCCACCTAAAACAAAAGGGGGTTGTGAACCCACGCAGGAGTTTGCACTAAGTGGGCTGAAGGCTTTTGCTGAGATATGTAGGTGTGGGCATGTATTTGGGCAGAACACAGACACTGAGAATAAACAGAACACATAGAGAGGCAGATTCAAAAAGTAAGATAAGACAAACAGTTGTAGATTACACTGTGACCAGAGAAAAAAGCTAGCAAGAGCGCTTTTGGGTCTGGTGTTGGCTAAAGAGGCTTGGGGCTGTAAACTAAGAAATGCCTCCTGCATTCAGAGAAGCAGGACTTTGTACATTCCTTGTAAACAAACAAGTTTTCATCAAAGAAAATACCAGACCATCAATTTCTAATGCCAACTGGAACATCTCCAAGATCCCTGAAATTTGATTAGACCCTCAGATAGAAAAGGGGCAATAACCCCCAAGATCTGCATTGTAATCCTTACTGAAAATTAAGGCAAAGTATACATTTAGTTTCATTATCCCTGATCTCTACCCCATCCTCACAGCATAGCGGCTCTACATCTTTTCTTGTTCTCTATTTATTTATATAGTTAATCTTCTACTATTTGTTTTAATTTCCTTTGTTTCAATTTGATTTGCTTCAAGTAAATATTTTATTATATAGATAAAACCTCCAATAATTAACATTAAAGCTACACATTTAAACAAAGTCAGGGAAGGCAAATATTAAAAGGTTCTCAAAATGTTAACCTGCCCACACTGTACAAAATCTATATTTTCAATATCCTAACTAGTTGTCATTTTCTGTTAGTTATGATCTTTCCGATTTTTTCAGTCTAACTCCAATCTTTTTCTCCCGCCCAAGTGGGGGAGATGATTACATATTAAGTGATATTTAAATGTAAAGCCTGAAGGGATTTTTCTGTCATTTGTGTTTATTGATGAGCAAAATGTCATCAGATGCTGAAGTAGTAGTTTTTTCATTCTTCAATAATTTCAATAGCTGCAAGGGTTTTTTCTCATACTAAAAATCAAAATGAAAAAAATCACATCTAGACTGAGACATCTCAGTGCAAAATGAATTTTTTTCAGGCAGTTACAAACATTGGAATATGAGGTTCTTATGAAAGCCCTGCTGCAACCTTAATTGCAGCTTTCACAATTTTGAAAAACAGAATGTAGCTACTTTTTTCTTTTTTATAAGTTAAAGAAGGATTAACCTGAACATGTGACTTTTTTGCTTTTTAAAAATTACATTTGAATGTCTTTTTTTTTTTAAACATAAGCATTGAAGTTTTCAAAGCTGACGAAGGGAGTTAGTCCCACAATTACTGTTTGCCTTTCAAATGGGAGTTGTGTGACTAACTCTCTTGGTCAGCTTTGACAATTTCAGTGTATGTTTCTTTAAAAAAAATAAATCTTTCACAGAAGGTCCTAAAAACAGCTGCTTGCCAACAAAATCATGTCCAGCACTTAAAAAAGCTTACCAAGCTGTTTATTGATGAAGTATTATACACTAGAATATAAAATCAGGAGGCATATGGATGAAACTCAATTATAGGTCCCTATAATGTTCTGCTTTCTTGATAAAGCGAAAAACTGTCTGGGTCCTTAAATTCTACAAATACTTTTTTTCTTTTTAAACTGTATTCAGAGTAATTACCTGGTAAATAAGTACATGGAGTGGGCCATGCTGGATATACTTTGTCCATGGCGCACAATCTCATTCTCCTGGTCCTCCCATTTCTCAGTCTCAGAGTCTACATCAGATGTGAGCAAATGCAGTTCTAATCCAAGTTTTCCAAGTTTTGCTTGTTCCTGTACATGATAAACTTACTGCATTTTTTTCCACTCACTACATTCTTTATACAAATTAACAAATAATTAAAAGGTTCAATACTAAATAGAGGGAAGCATCTTACCTCAGTATCAAGTTTGACTGGCTTTAATGCTTTCAGATTCACATTATGCTTCTGTTTCAAACAAAAAATAATTTGAAGAAAAAAATTTATAAAAGGTATAAGCAGTCAATTTAGTAACAAGTCACGGAGTAAAATATAAGGTCATCTTTATAAGTACTTAGCAGAATAGGATTTTAGTAACTAAGACAGAGGCCTACATGCTCCATATGAGAGATTTTGCTGTGTAAGGAATGGGAAACTCTTTCCTACTTGGGGTTTCTTCTGAAACATTCCTTGTGGAATGTGGAGTGAGATTTGTGTCCAAGGAAAAGCGAGGCGGTTCTGCCCCTTAGACTTCCAAAGATTCACCCAGACCCCAAAGCCCCCCTCCTGCATGGCAGCATGACCCGCTCACAAGCTAAGTAGTCCTTGCGGATAGCTGCATCCTTTTTATATCACCTCTCAGGGGTGATTTTGAAGCTATACAAAAGAGCTACCTACTGGTTGACTCATCATCAGCTCTTTGGCAGGTCTCCAAACTGAAATCCACACAAACCCAGGAGGGGCACGCTGCTTCCAGTGGCTGCTGCTCCTCCTCCTGTGCCACTCAGACCCTTATTGACTGTAATGGCTGGAGGCCAACACAGGAACATTCAGTGGAGCTGCTGCTTTTCTCATTCCATGGATTTGCTCTCTTTTATAAATGTCTTACTATGGGCCAGATAAGGATACCCTCGCTCAGGCTGAGTAACACCTGACTCCATGGCTGGTCCTACCGACTTCAAGGCAATCATGAATTAAGCTGCTCTTCAATGTAATATCAGAATCTGTCTGTCGGTGTTTTGTAAAGCAATGGTTCTAAACCTCTCCAGACTGCTGTGCCTCTTTCAGGAGCCTCAAGCCCGAACCCCATTACCTGGGGCTGAGGCATGTAACTTAGCTTCAGGGGGCCTCCTGTGGCATGGACCCAGGCAATTGTCCTGTTTGCCACCCCCTGAGACTGGCCCTGCACTTGCGACCCTCCTAAACCCTTCCCGCATCCACCAGGTTGAGAAATACTGATCTAGATGAGTTGACGTACCCCCTGGCAGAGCTCTGCGTACCCCCAGGGGTAGGTGTACCCCTAGTTGAGAACCACTGTTGTAAAAGCACCTAGGCACAATGCAGCCTCAATCCTGCTTGAGGTTTCTAGGCACTAATGGAATACTATTACTGATCTCCTGCCACAATTGGCCACTCACTGTTATTTAACTTTCATGGAAGTTCCTGCCAAAGTTCCCAAAGGCTTATTATAAACTATGAATGTCTATCCTAAATACAGTTATAAAGAACTGATCTAATTCTGCATATGTACTAGAAACGGGGGGGGGGGAAATTGCACTGGCACCAAATGATCCACCAAAGAATTTACACATTCATAGTACTGAATGTCATTTAAGTTTGTTTTGTGTAATATATTTTATATGTACAGTGGATTCTGCTTCTTATCAACCTCTTGGTTCACAGCAAAAAGTTGCCATTATCTGGAAGTTGCCAATAAGCAGCAGGCAGTCTTATGGGGCTGGAGCCAAGGAATACGTTTTAACTGTGCCCTTTAACCATCTATCAGAGTGGTAGCCGTGTTAGTCTGTATCCACAAAAACAACGAGGAGTCTGGTGGCACCTTAAACACTAACAGATTTATTTGGGCATAAGCTTTCATGGGTAAAAACCTCACTTCTTCAGATGCATGGAGTCTTTAACCATGTTACTGCTTTGCTGTGTCCTAGGTTGTAGCACAGTTCAAAAACACAGATCACACACAGTTAAGCATTACCTATATTAAAGACAGAACCATGTTTTAACTCTAAAAGGGACCATAGTTCTGCAATTGAATTCTTCCTGGACATGGTTATGGTAGTATAGAGATCCCTTACTGTATGAGGTATTTATGGCACCACATAACAAAATAGGCTGCCTTCTCCCAATAAATATGTTATCTTAAAGACAATTGACACAAACGTGCAAATAGGAGAATATTACATTGAATAGCAATACTAACAATTAAGAATGACTTTCATTTCCTGTTACTGTTCCTCATTGAGGATTTTGCTGGCTTCAGTAACCTTGCTGAAGTACCACCTTTGGGGACCCAGCCCATCATCCAAGGTTGAGCACACAGAGATCTCTGCATATCTATGTCAAGCGCGCACAAAAGCGTTCATGCATTTTTGTAGATTTGGGTCCCAATATGCCATCCATAAGTGCATAAAAGAAAAAGTATCTTCATCAGATAATAGCAAAGCGGCATGGCTTTGGTGTCAGGAAAGTTGCTCAACACTGATTTTTCCCTTTACAGCAGTGGTGGGCAACCTGTGGCCTGCGGGCCGCACGCAGCCCATCAGAGTAATTCGCTGGCAGGCCGCGAGACAGTTTGTTTACACTGACAGTCCACAGGCATGGCTGCCCGCAGCTCCCAGTGGCCGCGGTTCACCTTCCCAGCCAATGGCAGCTGTGGGAAGTGGGAGCCAGCACGTCCCTGCAGCTCACGCCACTTTCTGTGGCTCCCATTGGCCGGGAATGGCAAACTGCGGACACTGGAAGCTGCGGGCGCCCATGCCTGCGGACAGTCAATGTAAACAAACTGTCTCGTGGCCCGCCAGCAGATTACCCTGATGGGCTGTGTGCGGCCCATGGTCCACAGGTTGCCTACCACTGCTCTACAGACACTGTCTGATCTATAAGGGCTTATCTACACATTGAGACTCAGGAAAGTTATTACAATTTAAAGGTGTGAAGTTAAATTACATTGTTTCATAGAGTTTAAGGCCAGAGGAAACATTAGATCTTCTTGTCTGACCTCCTGTACATCACAGCCCATTCATTTTCACCCAGATACCCCTTTATTAAGCCCAAAGACTTTAGTCTAACTAAAGCATTCAATCTTCAGGAGGCTAACCTATGTG